CCAACCCTGGCCATTGCAGCCATGTAGGGAGTGAACCAGAGGACAGTTTCTCTTTTTCTCTCTCTCCTTCTCTTTCTATTTCTCTCAATGTAACTTTGCCTTTCAAAAAAATATAACATCTCTTAACAAAAAAGAAAGAAAGAAAAACGTGGGGCCAGCACTGTGGCATAGCGGGTAAAGCCAATGCCTTGCAGTGCTGGCATCCGATATGGGCACCGGTTTGAGTCCCAGCCGCTCCACTTCTGATCCAGCTCTCTGCTGTGGCCTGGGAAAGCAGTGGAGGATGGCCCAAGTCCTTGGGCCCTGCACCCACGTGGGAGACCTGAAAGGAGTTCCTGGCTCGCTCGCTCGTTCGCTCTCTCTCTCTCTCTCTTTGCTTCTGCCTCTGTAACTCTGCCTTTCAAATAAATAAATAAATCTTTTTTAAAAAAAAGGTAGTCCTTAGCATACAGCATGGTGCAAAGATTTACAATTTAGGGAGAAAAAGTCTTATTTCAATCAGTCAAATAGCTTTAATTAGTCACCCTATTTTTATTAGTGACTGATGTAAAATCTGTAATCTTGAAATAATCATAGATACCAACATAGCCTAATTATTATGAAATATGCTTAAAAGTCAAAATCAGTAAACCTATTAGAAATAATGAAATAACAATTATCCAAAAATATAATGTCTATAGTATTTTCCTAGCAATTCTACTTCCATAGTTATCCCTGGGAAATAATTACATATATAGACAGACATCTACAACCAGCTTATGTATGACAAAGGAGCTAAAACCAATCCCTGGAGCAAGGACAATCTCTTCTACAAAGGATTCTCGGAAAATTGACAAATGGGATTATATCAAGCGGAGAAGATTCTGTACTGCAAAAGAAACATTCAGCAAAGTGAAGAGGCAACAAAAAGAATGGAACAAAATACTTGCAAAAATATTTGCAAACTATACAACTGAAAAAGGATTAATTTCCAGAATCTATAAAGAGCTCACGAGACTCTCTCTCTTCCTCTCCTTCTCTCTCTGTGTTAACTCTGACTTTCAAATAAATAAATAAATCTTTAAAAAAAAATAAGTGGAGCAGCCAAGACTCGAACTGACACTCATATGAGATGCCAGCACTGCAGATGGTGGCTTTACCCTTTATACCACAGCACCGGCCCCTCATTTTGTTTTTTTTCAAATTCACTTTCTATTTATAACTGACTCCTAATATCCAAAAATGATCTAAGCTACTACAATTATCTTTCATATTCTAATCCAATGAACAAATATACATTGAAAACGTATCAGCTGCCTACTACCATCACTACTGGGGTCAAACCTGTGCTGTTTATGCTCTTGATTGTGTTACAAGACAAACATGGAATGGAGAAAACAAATGGTAGGGATAATCACTAAAATGGTAGGGATAATCACTAAAAGGTAGGGATAATCACTATTCACAGACTTTACCTTTCTGAATCCCATGCCCTGTTTCTCTTTTAACAACTCCACAGGCTTGCTGGAAGATACGCCCTTTTGGGTTACTGTAAAGTTAATGTATCTATACAAGTACATTCAGCAGAAGGAAAGGAGTGCCAACTCCGAGCCATGCAGTGGGCCCTGTCCTGTAATGCCCAGTGCCCTCCCTGCATCTGTCTCCCCTATTCCACTTGCAGATGCCCCACTTATTCATCAAACACAAACCACCAATTCCTATTATGTTCAAAGAAATATATTATGCTTGGGAAAAGGACAGTCCCTGACTCCAAGGAACACACAATATAACTGCAGCTACTGAATCCAGACCCCATGCATACTAAGTTCTTGAGGAATGGCACATTCTAGAGTTGCGCAAGGCAGTGGCCCTAAACAGAATGGGGGAAACACCTAGGAATAGGTGGCTTAGCACAACATGATGCCAGGTTAACACAGCATGAACACCAATGCTGGAAGAGCATATTTCAAATCCCTGCACAATGGGGCCAGTGCTGTGGCGCAGTGGGTTAAAGCTCTGGCCTGAAGCGCAGGCATCCCATATGGGAGCTGGTTCTAGTCCCACCTGCTCCTCTTCTGATCCAGCTCTCTGCTATGGCCTGGGAAAGCAGTAGAAGATGTGCCCCTGCACCAACGTGGGAGACCCGGAAGCAGCTCTTGGCTCCTAGCTCCTAGCTTCGGATCAGCATAGCTCCAGCTCTTGCAGCCACCTGGGGAGTGAACCAGCGGATGGAAGACCTCTCTCTCTCTCTCTCTCTCTCTCTCTCTCTGATTCTCCTCTCTGTATAACTCTGACTTTCAAGTAAATAAATCAAATCTTAAAAAAAGGAAAAAGACACTTGATCTTAGCCAAAAGGCCGAGAAGCAAACTGTTGAAATCTTTACTTAATATATACTAAAGTGATCTTCTGTACATAGAGAATTGAAAATGAATCTTGATGTAAATGGAAGGGGAGAGGGGGTTGGAGAGGGGAGGGTTGCGAGTGGGAGGGAAGTTATGGGGGGTGGGAGGGAGCCATTGTAATCCATAAGCTGTACTTTGGAAATTTATATTTATTAAATAAAAGTTAAAAAAAAAAAAAACAAAGGGCCCTGCCTTTTAAGGCCAAGTCAAATTATATAATTTAGCTTTGAAAGGCAGTCATCATTGCCCATCAGTTTTACCCTGATGGCTTTAAGGGGGTTTAGAAAGCTTCCTCATTTGAAGCTAGATGGGGGCAAACCTTGTGACAACTCCTCAAAAAGTTGAGAAGTCCAGTTGTGGGTGAATAGATGGGAAAAAGAAAGAACATCACAAACAGAAAGCTATAACCATTATGAAACCCAGGGACTGGTCATCAGCACCATTTCTAGTCAAGAATGATGAAGCAGCAGAAAAACCTTTTGGCAGGTATCGAGGTAACCTGACACTTCTGCCTCTTCGCTTATTTTCTGAGAAGCAAGAGTTAGGCCTTGCCTGCAAAAAGCACTGACTCTCAATTTTAAAGCTGCCACCAGTCTACTGTTGTTGCAAACTTCATAAGGAGTTACTCATTTTTGAGTTAGTCACTGTTACTGGTATTTCTTTCACAACTGATGTATCATTTTAAAATAAAAGACCTGGAAAACCCAGCTCAGAAAAATCTTTGGATGTGTTTGTAATACCACTGAATGGCTCAAGAAAACAAGTAATATCCCTCTTCTCAGGTAACAGGTAACATCCTGCCCAGCCATATTCAACTCCCAGCTTTGTCCTGTTGGAACAAAGCTGGAACAAAGCTGTCCCTGCTCTTTTCTATACCCTCTTGAGGTCCGTTTAGCTCACTTGGCAGCAACCAGTAAAATGCAAATGGCTTCCAGAGTTCTGGAAGACAGACCTCATGAACTAAAGGAGACAGGAGAGTGATCAGAAACACAAAAAAGAGCATGCCCCTCTGACAAAGCAGCCTTCATTCTTTAACTCGCAAATATGAGTGTCTGACACATTAAGTTACTTAGTAAAAAAAAAAACAAAAAAAAAAAAAAACCTCTTTTAAATATACTCATCATGTCTCAGGTGATTGCTGATGTCATAAATAAGAGTGCAAGCCCGGCGCCGCGGCTCACTAGGCTAATCCTCCACCTTGTGGCGCCGGCACACCGGGTTCTAGTCCCGGTCAGGGAGCCGGATTCTGTCCCGGTTGCCCCTCTTCCAGGCCAGCTCTCTGCTGTGGCCAGAGAGTGCAGTGGAGGATGGCCCAAGTACTTGGGCCCTGCACCCCATGAGAGACCAGGATAAGTACCTGGCTCCTGCCATCGGATCAGTGCAGCGCGCCGGCCACGGCACACCGGCCGCGGCGGCCATTGGAGGGCGAACCAACGGCAAAGGAAGACCTTTCTCTCTGTCTCTCTCTCTCACTGTCCACTCTGCCTGTCAAAAAAATAAAAAAAATTTTAAAAATAAAAAAAATTAATAAAAAAAATTAATAAAAAAAATAAAAGTGCCAATTGTTAATCAACAACGGGAGTCACTGGGTACATGATCCCCACGTAGGATCTCTGTCCTTAATGTGTTTTACTATGAAACTTAAAAATAACACTACTAGTCGAACAATACCCTATACCTTGTACGGTTGTGTGAGTGCAGCCTGTTGAAATCCTTGCTTAGTATACACTAAGTTGATCTTCAGTATATAAAGGTAATTGAAAATGAAACTCGATGAAGGGCAGGATAGGAGAGGGAGTGGGAGAGGGGAGGGCCACGGGAGGGAGTGAGGTTTGGGGGGTGGGAGAAGCCACAGCAATATACAAGTTGCACTTTGTAAATTCACATTTATTCAATAAAAAAAAATAACTATATAACAAACAAAAAAAAAGAAAAAAAAACTTAATACTTTACCCTTTTAGTATTTTTTATGTTCTACTTAAAACTATTGGTTGAACTCTGTAATTAATACACAATTACTCTTAGGTGGTTAATTAATGCTATAACTAGTACTCAAATAGTATTTTACACTTTGTGTTTCTGTGTGGGTGTAAACTGTGGAAATCTTTACTTAATATATGCTAAATTGATCTTCTGTATATAAAGATAATTGAAAATGAATCTTGATGTGAATGGAAGGGGAGAGGGAGTGGGAGATGGGAGGGTTGTGGGTGGGAGGGAAGTTATGGGGGGGGGAAGCTATTGTAATCCATAAGCTGTACTTTGGAAATGTATGTTCATTAAATAAAATAAAATAAAATATTAAAAATATATATATATATATACTCATCATAAAAACATAAAAATCTTCATTTCCCAGGTGAGCAACTGGCTAAGAGCTAAAAACACCACTTGTGAAGCACACATCCCATATCAAAGTGTCTAAAGTCAAGTCCCAACTCTACTCCCAGTCTCAGCTTCTGGCTAACGCACACCCTGGGAGGCAGCAGGTGACTGGCTCTTCCAGCCGTGCACTGCCCATGTGCAAGTATTGGGTTCCTGCTCCCAGCTTTGACCTCTACAAGGGCCAGTGCAGGCATTTGAGGAATACACCATCAGATGGGAGTTTTCCTTGTCTCTGTCTCTCTCCTTCCCTCTCTCTCTCTCTCTCTCTGTGTGTGTGTGTGTGTGTTTGTGTGTGTGAGAGAAAATGAAAGAATAAATTTTTAAAAACATTTTAGTTTCCATTTGTCAAGTAAAAATTTTTCTCAAAGGAAATCTTAAATATGCATAATAATAATTACCTGATCTCCACACACTGGTCTTGAACAGCGGCCAAAAGCTTTCCATTGCTTTCATGGGAGAAAGAGAAAAGATTCTACATGAGTATCTGAAGCAGTCTTCTACACAGAAGCATTTGAACAAGTTAGAATCAGTTTTGAATTTTGACAGGCTTTTATTATTCATCTAGTGGCCTTATAGTTAGTTGACTATAAAGTACAAAAATATACAAAATGATTCAGTACACCTTGATTTAACATGTTTAAACAATACTAATCATACATGACACAGAGAATTTTTATACAATAAAAATCAAAACTGAAAGATCCAAAAATTAATATTCATAATGAAATTTAAAAGGTAATCCATATAGGAAGACATTACATGAATTTTATATCCTTACCTTGCAAGTACTAAATGCCAGTTTATCTGTTTATTAATCAAGCGAACCAGTCCATCAGGGAGCAAGAAAGGTGCAGGGCTGAAAACACAATACATGAGCTCGCTTAAAATCTAACCATGAAAACCACGATAAGTCAGCAAATATTACAAGTAGCACATATATTTACAGGGAGATGGGATTTTTTTTCTCATTAGAATATAAAATTTGAACAAAAATAAAAAAAAACAATAAATGCTAGCCAGCATGTGAGGAAAAGGTACCCTAATACACTACTGGTGGGATGTAAGCTAGTACAATCATTATGGAAGACAGTATAGAGATTCCTCAGAAATCTGAAAAAAGATCAACCATATAATCCAGCCATCCCGCTACTGGGAATTTACCCAAATGAAATGAAATCACCATTTTAAAGAGTTATCTGTACCCCCATGTTTATTACGGCTCAATTCAAAATAGCTAAGATGGAATCAACCCAGATGTCCATCAACTGACGACTGGATAAAGAAAATGTGGTATCTATCCACTATAGAATACTACTCAGCAGTAAAAAGAAAAAAAAGATTGGATTCTGTCTTTTGCAAACAAAATAGATGCAACTGGAAATCATTATGCTTAGTCAAATAAGGCAATCCCAAAAAGACAAATATCATGTTTTCCCTGGTTTGTGGTAACTAATACACAGTTTACAAAAAAAAGCAGTATGTATGTGAGTAAAAATGACATTTTGAGATCTGACTATTGTTTACAGCCCTTGTCTATACTCCTGAGGAACAGTGGTTTTTCTACTTACTGTTTGTTCAATTATTTACTTAGTAGAAAGTTAAGCTTGTGGTTATAAAATAAACTGAAACTATGTAATAATAAAAATTTTTTAAAAATAAAAAAGGAAAGAGAAGAGAGAGGATGGGTAGGAGGAAGGAAAGGGTGGGAAGTATCCCTCCTAAATCTGTGTAAATGAAATACATGAAACTTGTTCATCTTATATAGTTAAAAAAAAAACTAAATAAAAATAAAAGTAAATTTTAAAAAGAATATAAAATTTCAGTGTTAGTGAACCCCAAACCAAAACTTACTAATTTGGTATCTGAAATTTAATCGTATACATTTCCCTATTTCCAGAAAACACGATGCTGTGTTTAGTCATATCCTTTCGAGGGAAGCGATATGCAGGGTGCCAATAACAAGGCAGAGTAAATGCACAACAGTCTTCCTGTTAGGACCACCTAGAAATTCTGGTTCAGTCACAACAAAGACAAATTCTAGTATGCAGCTGAAATCAGAACACCCAAAGAGGAATTTCCAAGAACTAGAAATGAAGTTAATTGCTGGCCCTGTGGCCTAGCAAGCTAAGCATCCACCTGTGGCACCAGCATCCCATGTGGGTTCTGGTTGAGGCCCTGCTGCTCTGCTTTTGATCCAGATCCCTGCTGATGGCCTGGAAAAGCAGTGGAGGATGGCTCCTGCACTTCATCCCCTGCCCCCGCGTGGGAGACACGGAAGAAGCTCCTGGCTCCTGGCTTTGGATCAGCCCAGCTCCAGCCATTGCGGGAGTGAACCAGCAGATGGAGACCGACCTCTCTGTCTCTCCCCCTCTGTCTGTGACTCTGTCTCTCAAGTAAATAAATAAATCTTTAAAAAAAAAAAAAAAAAAGAAAAATGAAATGAAGTTAATTGACAGAATTTAGCACAGTAGAGAATCAAGAACCCAAAACAGAACTTAATACACAGGATCCGAAACGAGTCATTGGGCCACATGGCCACACAAGCCAAACAACTGCACCACTGGTGAACAGAGAATTAGAAACTTCTCACTGTGGGCCTAGGGAGGCTTTAAGGACTTTCACATCCTTGCCTAAGAACTCTGGTCTGTGGGGAGGGAAAAGAAATCTCCTATGAAAATTAAGAACACAGCAACTGAACAATGACTGACCAGAAGAGTTGAAGATATGCAAGCCACAGATCCATTATGTGGGCATCAAGATACGGCTGAGAATACTCATCAGATGAAACAGAAGTCATCATTAAATATTAACAATAATGACAAATAGAATAAAAGTTACAGAGTCTACTGAGATATCTTTTCAGTTATGCCAAAATGTTTGAAATGTCTATTTTACAAACTTTGTTCACTTCAATGTCACTGTATATATCATGATCTGGGATTCAATAGTGAAAACTGAAACCATAAGTAGGGTAAATCTTTTTGTTATTTTTGTAATCAATTCATTCTTAAATTGTTTAATTATAAATGTTTACAGTATACAATGTGATAATCTGACACATGTATAAAATCTAATTAGTATTCCCCTCTCCTTAAATATTTTATCATTTTTGTTATGAATAATACTATGTATATTTGATGTTTATGCTGTTTCTCTGACAAACTGAACACTCACCTGTACCAGATGTATTGGCGTAAAAACAACAAATGATCTGTAATAAAAACAGCACAAACATAAATCACTTTGTCTTTAAAATCATTTTCAAATTAGATCCATAGACAAGGAATCTAAAATATACCACAGACCAATTCATTACAATAAAAAACAACAGAGGTCGGCGCTATGGCATAGCAGGTAAAAGCCGCCGCCTGAAATGCCAGCATCCACATGGGCCCCAGTTTTAGTCCCAGCTGCTCCACTTCTAACCCAGCTCTCGGCTATGGCCTGGGAAAGCAGTGGAAGATGGCCCAGGTCCTTGGGATCCTGAACCTGCATGGGAGACCCAGAAAAAGCTCCCAGCTCCTGGCTTCGGATCAGCCCACCTCCAACCATTGTGGTCATTTGAGGAGTGAACCAGCAGATGGAAGACCTTTCTCTCTCTCTCTCTCTGTGTCTCTGCCTGTCTGTAACTCTGCTTTTCAATAAATAAATAAATGTTTAAAAAAAAAAAAGGAAAAACACACTTTAAAATGAGATAATAAATATAATCTAAGATAAACTATAATTTTCAAAGTCAAACATTTGTCTATATTATATTCCAAACTTGTGTGTCACTCCAAACTTTGAAGTATTTCCTAACCAAAAAAGTAAAAGTGGCTTGAGAATTAAATTAAAAGTTAAATTTCATCTAGGAAATTTTAATGAAACCATGGACGACAAATGACAGTAATCACCCTTTAAAGCCTTTGCATAAAAATCAAAACAAAATGTCTAACTTCCTATTAAAATTTAATTCTTTACATTATTCTATGGATTTACTTCAAAAAGTTTATGGAAATAAAAGATAATGCAAGGTATAATAATGTGTCATAGCGGGTAAAGCTGCCACCTAGGATGCCAGCATCCATGTGGGCACCAGTTCATGTCCTAGCTGCTCCACTTCCTACCTAGCTCCCTGCTAATGGTCTGGGAAAAGCAGCGGAAGATGGCCTAAGTACGTGGGTACCTGCTACCCACGTCGAAGACCTCGAAGAAGCTCCTGGCTCCTGGCTTTTCGGTCAGCTGGGAAGTGATCCAGCAGATGGAAGATCGCTCTCTGTGTGTCTTTCCTTTTCTGTTAACTCTTTCAAATAAATAACTCTTTTACAATAAAGGAAAAAAACAATGCAGATTTTCCATGAACTTTTAAAAGTTTAAAATGTATAAAAGTACTTCACAAAGTTCATTGAAAAACAGAATTAAAAGATGTTTATTTTGGCACAAAAAGCTTTTGAAACCCACTCAATATTTTCATAACACATGTGAACTTTAAAGATCCTTCATATTCATGGAATTTGAAATTTCTTACACCAAAATACCTTTAATTTCATTTTTCACAAACCTTTTTGTACTCTTATATATGTATATATGTACCTGTGTTAGATGTATATTAATGGAAAAAATTCTGAATAATAATAGATTATCTCTGGGTGGTAAAATGAGGAAAAACTCATTTATTTTAATTTGTGATTTATATTAGCTTTTCATTACTACTGTGAAATATCTGAGGCAACCAACTTTATAAGGTAAAAGGGCTTCTTTAGCGCAGAGTTTTGGAGGTTCAAGTTCAAGACCAGGCAGCCCCATCAGTTTCACTTCTGATGAGGGCAGCAGTGGTCAGTGCAGAGCTCAGGCACAGGAAGATCACACGCTGAGCCAGGAAGCAGAGAGAGGCGCCCCCTACCTCAGGCTTTTAGAACAACCCTCTCAGGAGTTACTTTCCAGGGCACAACCCCAGGGTGACCTAAGGACCTCCCACTAGGCCCACCTCCTAAACACCACAACTGGATTAAGTTCCTACCCTCTCAGTACCATTTGTTTATGACTTTCATGTCTAAATACCTGCATGAATCCATGGGGAAAATCATACTCAAACTGTAATATGTTGAACTATTATAGTCTAAATTTTCTACAGTGAATTTTTATTGCTTGTGTGCATTTTCTAAATTTTTGAAATCTCAAGGCATTTGTGGTAATGAAAATTGAATATTCTAGTGCTTTCTATATGATAAAATAAAATTATAATTAATCTCAAAGTATACAATTCTTTTGAAATTAAATCTTTGTAAGGAGCTTAAATTACTGGTATAGAAAGAATGAACTCTGGAACCAGAAAAACACAAATTCCAAATGAATATCTTTGGGCAAGCTTCCTCTTCTAAAACATAAAGCAGCAGCAAGAAATACCTTGCTGGTCTGGTAAAATTAACATTCTGTTAAATTTTGTTAAAATTAAGAGAGTAAAGCACTCATAGCACCAAGTGCCTAATCCTGTCTCAGACTCTCATTAGGTCAAATGTAAAGTCTGTCAGGAATTAATGTCCCAGTTAATCAAATTTGCAATTTTAATACTTATGACCAGATACATCTGGAATATCACATAAACTACTTAACATAACCTCTCACTGTCTTTTCACTCGACACCCACAGACTCTGTGAGACTCCGTGTACTTGATCTTCCTCATCCCCTTGGAATCACATCCATACCAGCTACATCCACTCAAGTTCAGCTGTAAGCTGCATTCAAATCCTGTGTGTGTGAATATGCATATACTTAAAAACATGCCTATGTGTGCATACATACATATAAACACACACAAAAATCAACTCAGCATGTCTGCTACTTACTTTCATCAGGCTCCACATCAGAAATCTAAAAAGTACATTCTATATCCCTGAAACTTTACAAAATGGCACAGTTACAGATAAAATGGAGGAAAAAATTAGTAACAACATAATTACATATAGGAAGATAAAAATGAGCTGTATTTACCTCTAATTGCTTTTGTGATGAAAAACGATGCACCATGATTTCGGTTGCCTCTAGGCTACAAGTTAAACAGACAAAAACAAAACTTTAACATTTGAGAATTTTTTAGTAAATGTTCTTATACAACATGCAAACTTATACTTCTTTACCAACACTCAGAGTACTATGTACAAAGTCCAAGTATGCATATTTAACAACTGCTAACAGATTAAAACAAAAAAGTACAACAGGGCCTGGGGCATGGGGAATAAACATTGAACATGGTACAGTTACAAGCAACTTCAGGGTGAACCTTACAGGAGAGGGCAAAGACTGAGGCTGGAAACTGTTTCCAAATCAGTTCACCAAACACAGAGACGTCAAGCACACAAAGACAATTATGGTGGCCAGCTCAGCAGTCTATTCAAGCAGGCTGTCATATATCCATGGAGACAAAGACACACACTAACAAAACACACACTCAAGCTACATTAAGTAATTGTTAGATTAAATAATCCCATCCCATAAGTAAAGGCAGAACACTCACTCTGTGTAGGTTAAACAACACTATGACTACACGTGAGTAGGAGGCACCAAAGTTCTGTCAAGAAAAGCATAATGAGGGCACAGCAGGTTAAGCCACCTCTTGCAGTGTGGGCATCCTAGATCCAAGCACAGATTCAGGTCCCAGAAGCTCAGCTCCGGATCTAACTCCCTGCTGGTGAGCCTGAGAGGCAGCAGATGATGGCCCAAGTACAGATAAGATACTGTAGACCACAGAAAAGTTATTTCACTTAACAAACTTTACTGGATCATCCAATTCACAAATTGGTCCTGGGGAAGCCTATAAGGTGAACCAGACGCAATGGAGCTGCCCTCAAAGAGCTTACAGTGAACAGCTGAAAACAGAACGTAGAAATCAACAGACCAACAACAAAACGCTGCTATCAGCTTCAATGTTTCAGTATAAGTGGGCATATTCCTTTAAAATCAATTTATAATGTCAGGCATTCTGAAACGTCATGGCAAATAACCAGCGAGTGACAGGGGGAGCAAAACTCCTTATGGGACAGAGAGCAGTAGCAACAGCTTCCTAGCTGCCTAACTTGCTAAATATTCACATTACTTAAGACAAACAACAACAAAGAAGCGAATCTGTGCATGCCTATAAAATACTAGCACATTAGTCAAGACGAGCAGGAGCTGCGGAGGGAAGGAGCTGAAAGAGGAAGACTACAAACTTCACAGGAAAATGAATGGCGTGCACACTCAGGCAGAGGCGGTGCGGAATTCGCTGGACTCCGTAATGTCCACTAAAGCTCCTCTGGGCTCTTGCTGCTTCCTGAGTCTCAGTGACTGGCACATATAGGGCACTCGATAAATAATTATCTGCTGAACAAACGTGAATCCGCAGATGCCTGAGGGGTTCTACCCGGGAGACAACTGGTACCCCAGGCTCCAGTTCACAAGTCGGATCCCACCTCGGGCCACTTCATCCCCGCGCCATTCCGCTCCTAGCGCAGAGTAATAACCCGGCATTACTCTAGATTACGCGAGAAGTATTTCCTGGACTGTCGCCCCGCTAGCTCCGTGAAGGCCTATCCAGCTCTGGTCCCGGGCATCGAGCGCAGCACCTGGGACTCGGGGACTCGGACGGGGACACACGGACACACACTCTAGGGGCAGGACGTGGGGTTTCGGGGGACACACGGGTCGCGGACACACACTCTAGCGCAGCACTTGGGAATCGGGGGACACACACACACACACTCTAGCGCAGCACCTGGGACTCGGGGACACGGACGGGGACACACGGACAGACACACACTCTAGCGCAGTACCTGGGACTCGGGGACACACGGATGGGGACACACACACACACACACACACACTCTAGCGCAGCACCTGGGACTCGGGGACACACACACACACACACACACTCTAGCGCAGCACCTGGGACTCGGGGACACAAGGACGGGGACACACACACACACTCTAGCGCAGCACCTGGGACTCGGGGACACGGACAGACACACACACACTCTAGCGCAGCACCTGGGACTCGGGGACACACGGACGGGGACACACACAC